CGTAAACCAGAACAACAACAAACTACATTTTTACATAAACTAATCACCCTGTCTATAACACCCGCTTAATCTCTGAGCTTGTTTTATATCTGTGTGACAAACACCTTAATAAACACTTAAGGTTGGGTTACTCAGGCCTTGATCTATAAAATAAATGAGGACACAATGAGACAACTTAGTCACTGAGAGGAAGTTAGTGTCACATAGTGAAGAAAGATGAAAAATTACTATACAAAGTGACCATCAGCAGACGAGATAAACACAGGTACACAGGTGTGCATTGTTTGTTTGTGGAGAAGTTGTTAAAGCTGTAGCCAATCAGCTTTAATTGTCATATTTGCACTGAGGACATCAAAATCCACAGGACAATGGCAGATTTTACCATTTGAGCAGTGCAATAAGGAAGTGTCTAACAGATCAGTTGGATACAGTTGAATCCATAAGTGTCTGAATAATAACAGTGGGTTTCATTAAAAACCATCCTTATAGTTCAAACGATACTTGTTAACTGAACTGGCTGCAGTTCCTAAACAGCTAATTCAATAGTTTTGTTAAACAGTGTCTTATGATCCATGTTCATGAATACACGCTGGAAAAAAGGTCTACGATGTTAAAATTAAAGCTAAGATACATCCTGCAGTTAGTCATAGTATATCATTTTGTTAAACGTGTATTTGATTATCAGTACAAAACTCCTTTTTATGTTCTATTATTGTGTTTCTGTCATCACTGGTGAATAGATCTCATCTTTCTGAAGGTCATTTGTTACATAATTGCCTTTTTTCTCTGGCTTCATCATCAAGCAGTTTTTTAGCTTTCTAAAACTGCTTGATGATGAAGCCAGAGCCTGTATCTGTTATACCTTTGTGTCCAAATTCCTCTGCTCTAATGTGTGTGTGTGTGTGTGTGTCAGAGAGAGAGATAGACTCACTGATGTTGGGGCTGCGGATGGTTAGGTGATCGGTCTCTGCCATTAAACGAGGGCTCAGGCTGGTCACCATGTGGTCAATGCGTTTGACCACATCCATGGGGCCGTTCACCACCTCAAACACAGACCACGAGCATGTTAGCAGCAGTGACACGTGCCCACTATGGCCTGCTCAAACCAAAGAAGGCAGATCTCAAAATGTCCATGCATACACTACTTTTATGCTCTTAACTGTTTCCCACACTGTTGCAGCAGAACTGGGCACACACACCTCAGTGGACGGGCCTATAACGCAGCGTACAATCAGAGATTTCCTGTTGTCTGTATTGAAAACCTGCATTCTGATTTCAATTTGCCCATTGAAGAACTGAGCCTTGGAGACAGCTGGGAGCAGAGCAAGAGAGGGAGGTTTATGGATGAGCACATGCACAGTTTTTTTAAATGGCTCATCATTGAGTCTGCGTTGAGTTGGCCTTGGAGCACTGAGAGTTCTGAGGGGGAAGGGAGGCAAAGTGCTGAGAGAAACACTTGTCATAAGGCAACCTTTATACAGATCCATACACATCAATAGTGCAGAAGCAGAGGAGGAAAGAATAACAGAGCCTGGTGACAGAGATGAGGGAAAACACAGTGGAGCGAGTGTGAACAGGGTTACGTGGATGGTTTTACTCAATAATTAGAGAAAATTTGGGAAAATCTGGATGACTAAGCAACGACTTGGAGGCAGACTTTAAATTTATCAGCTCTGTTCTTCATCACTGAAGCTGATGTTGAGCTCTTATAACACAGACCATAGAAGCATACTGTCCTCTGGTGGATTTGAAGGAAAATAACACCCACGTTCCTTCCTACACAAACCAGTCACTGGAGTGTAAGTGGGACAGCCTTTTCTCTTGGACCTCACACGTCCTATCTTTTGATACTGAGCAGTGATTAGACCAGTGTTCTCTTCACCAAATTGAATTTTTGACACGTTTGTGTGAGGTATAATCTCACCATCTATTAGGCCATGTAATATCTGTGCAGGGTTATGTATAAAGGTTGGGTAAAGCCAATCTAACATGTAGCATCTGACGAAGAAAAGAAACATCACCAATCCTGGATCAATCAAGAGTCAGCTATCTCATTCTGGAGAGTGCAGCAGGCAGGGAACCACTTGTACAATTAATTAGTTCTCAAAGTTTAAAAAGTTATTTTAGCATAAAGCAGCTTCGCAAATTAGGGAATGTAGTGACAGGTGTTTACGTAGCAGTGAGGTTGTAATGCCTGCGTCCTGAAAGTGTGGCCCATGGACCATCAATATAAATATAATATGATGACCATAAATAATAGAAAGTGTACCAATAGTTTTTTCACAGTTATGGGATTCAGCAAAGCACAGTGACATCTAGAACCATTTCTACACGTCTTTAGTACATTTCAGTTTTCAGGTAAAAGCACGCTCCTTTCTTGCCATTATCCCCAACTGGTTTCGGCAGATAGCTGGCCCTCGTTGAACCTGGGATTGGGTCATGTGACATGGACTGGGTTTTATAGCACTTTTCTACTCTGAGCACTCAAAGATTTTACGAAAGCTGCCTCATTCACATAAGCACTTTTTTTTACACGAGTCCTTTCTATACTCTGATGGATGCATCAGGTTAGTACCCTGCCCGAGGACAATTGGCACGTAGGGGCTGAAGTTGCAGTGCCATTTAGCAGCTTGAGTGTAAACATTCCTCCTCATTCGTTCGGTCCTGGCAGCCAGCACATGGCAGTTTGTTATTAAGGTGGCTGGTTCCCCTGCTGTCCTCCTGGCTGCAGATGTGCAGCGTTTGCTGTCTGTCCTACAGATTCAGGAGGTTGAACTAGCTGAATGA